CTGACCGACAGGTGCTACGCTTGGTCATGCCTGGTCGGCAGGTGCTACGCACGACAGATCCTCCAAGGGCTTCGAGCTGTGTCGGCTGGTGGTACTTGGCAGCATGGCGCTGAGGTGTATCATTAGCGATCGCGACGTGTTCAACTGTTTGCGCGCAGGGAGGAGGTGTCGTTGGGCGCCATGGTGGCGTCGACGATAGCTGGACCGAGCAAGGTTGATGCATCAGTACAGTTCTGAAGATGGAGCGGTTGGCGGCGGCGGCCTCTGAGAGCACGCCGGACCAGTATGTGCCCCAGACCCGACAAGTGGCTAGGTTGGGGTCTTAGGTCTTAGATGTTAGGCTTGGCTGCGATGTCTGCTTGGTATTAGGCCCAGGCTATCTGCGCCCCTTCATCAACTGGATAGGTGTAGCGACAGTTTGTTGCTTAGACGGCGGTTTTAGTCTTATTGTTGTATGATTTTGTAAGGTATTGTGAGAATAATTAATAAAATGGCCGTATGCATCGTCCAGCGGCGGAGCTTGCAGCCCAAAGGTGGGCGGGCCGGATAGAAAAAATAGCCTATGGGCTACTGTTTTAAGGCCCATAATTAGATATATAGTGTATAAAATTCAATGAGTTGAGCGGGCCATGGCCCATTCAGCCTTGCTGAAGCTCCGCCAGTGGCATCGTCCAAATGCAGAAGCCGGGGGTCATCCTCCTTTTCTAAAAAAAAAAATCTCTCGTTCATGGTTCATGACCACGAACCATGCAAGTACAGGGGTGTGGATAAGCTTCGGTTTTCGCTCCGCTTGAAGTTGGACGTGAAAGACACCCGATGAGATAGCCTCATGTGCCGGCGAGTACCACGCACGTTGGGTGGAGTTGCATAAAAGAAAGGCAATGTGCTAAAGGTCTTCTCTATTTTTTTAATACTGGCCTTCTTCTGTTTTTACATTCTTCCCTAGTTTGATAATGCTTCTTTTTTCTTGCAGGTTGCAGATTAGATTGTTAGAACAATGTTTCAATAATGTTCTCTTATGCAACTTGGGAACAAGATGTTGTCATAAATGATTAGTTTTCTTTCACTTCTCAATTAACTTGGTTACCATGTGGAGAATCAAGTGATTATGCCAAGTTTTTTTTTACTTTATATGAATGTGTTTGCCTTGTTGAGCATGAATATAGCCATATATTCGGGCTGGTTGCTCTTGAGCCACACTTGCTAGCATTGAGTCTTGGCGCTCTTGTGTCTGCCTCAGATGATGTTCCTTGATGTCACTAGTGTCTTCTATTCATAGTCCCCAAACTCTAGTGTCTTTTTGTGTTTTTGTTTTTCACTTGGCTTTTCCCTAATTAACCAGGAATGTTTTGTTTCTTGGTCTGTTTTTTCTTATAACCGGACCATCGCTCTTCTCCTAAATGAACCGCAGAAACCCCTGCTGTTGAATGAGGTTCTTCAAAAAAAATATGGTCATATATTTTTGCCCCCTCTCATGGTTTTTTCCTTGGTCCGCCCTGCTCCAAATTACATCTACATACATCTGTATGTAGTCAATATTAAAACCTCTAAAAGGTTTACATTTAGAAACTGAGGGACTACATATTTTGAAATGTATTCCAAACGGAGGGAGTACCTAATAATGAGAGGGAGAAAAAGGCGATCTTTCTTTTTTCCGCTAGTAAGGGTTGTGTTGGGTCGAGGCGATTTGGTGCCCAAGCTCAGCTGCACCCACGATGAACAGGCAATTCAAAAATAAATACTAGAAAAATTCAAAAAATTCAGATGTCATGGAAGATAATTTGGTGCATGAGGTGCACTTCGAATTTCAGATCATTTGAGATCTTAGTAGCTCTCGGCAAAAAAGAAAAAAATTAGGTTCTATGACAAGTTTATTGTTTTGACCCAATTTTTGCTGAGAGCTACTCATATGTCCAAATGATCTGAAATTTGGAGCGCACCTCACGCACCAAATTATCTTGCATGCAAAAAAACAAATTTGTTTGATTTTTGTTAGTATTGTTTTCGAACTTTCTCTTCATCGGGTGCAAATGAGCCTGTGCTTAGAAATGGATATTCAGTTGTGTTTCATTTTTTGCGGGGAAAAAGGTCAGAGTGTACATAGAAATCAGGCCCATTGCATTTCTGGACTCCTCTGGTCCTCTCTGTTTAGTTAGTTTGCAATATCTTCTAAAAAAAGTTAGTTTGCGATAACGCAATAGTCAAGGCCCATGACGCCCCTCCCAGCTTCGAAGCTAAAAACATTAAGGCCCAATAGAACACTCCACAGAGTTCAGCCCCCGCTCTTGGCTACCAAGCAAACAGAGCTGGTGGTGCGGCCGCGGGGCCGGGGCTCGTCGGCGGCGGCCAGACAGGAAAGCTGGTCGGCCACCGGGAGAGGTCGGCGAGCAGAGGATAGAGCACACCGTCCAGGTGCCTGGTGGCAGGCAACAGGTGGAGGCCGGGGAGGGGTAGCTATGAATGCTCGGAGGGCACCCAGGGGTGGTGTGATCGATAACATTGAATTGTGTTTATCGGTTTCTTTTCATGCAATGAAATGAAATTGGGGGCGAAGCCCCTCAATTCAAAAAAAAAAAAAAAAGATCGATGCAGCTCGTCTTGGTCTATCCGGAATCTGGCAGGTAGCTTATTGGTTCCTTGCTTGTTCGTTCTTTCTATCTTCTTCAATATTTTTATTAACTTATATAATCGGCTGGTAGTTCACCCGTATTGGGATGGGGAACGTCATGATGCTGCTTTGCTGCTACGCCAGTACTATGAGATCATTCATCTCGTGGTTGGCCATGAGATCATTCTTGTTAGATTAGATCCTTTATTTGTTGAAGGTGACTCACTATCAAATAGTTAACCAAGCTAATAGGCTAGTAGTTGGTAAATGAGCTTAATCATCGCTCGTCTCGTCCACCGCGATCTGATCTACTCCGCAGACGGCCAGTCCCTTGGATGCTTCCTCCTCATGTACATATACATTTATGAATGATGCTAGTAACCTGCAGCTTACAAAACATTGGCAGCCGGCCAGCCAGCTCCTTGGATGCTTGCTGCTCATGTGCATGTATATTCATGAATGATACTGGTAACTTGCAACTTAAAAAACATCCGCAGCCGGCCAGCTTCTTGGATGCTTTTCCTCTTAACCTGCAGCTTAAAAAACATCGGCAGCCGCCAGCCTCTTGGATGGTAGCGTCGACGTCTCTGCTTTGTCATCACCGGTGAATCATGGTCCTTCATCCGGGGTTTCTTAAACACAAAATCCTTGTTTTTGTTCCTTACCTGCTATCGCCTACGGGCGCCATCACACTTACATGAATTCCAGCTTTATCCCCATCTACTTTTTGGACATCATAAAAGTATAAAACACATGTGACACCATTCATGGTGGATGTAATATTCATTAGCATATAGGATAATAGTAATATATGTGTGTGATTATAGATGCAAATGATTATTATAAGCTACAAATACTCTAAGAATTACTCTTTTTTTAGGGCGGCGAGAAGATGATAGATCGGCGTATGGGTTCCCGGCGGCGAGGAGCGGCCGGAGGGGGGGAGAGATGGGCGCCGCCGATCGGCACATCGCAGTTCGTCTTGGTCTCTCAGGAATCTGGCAGGCGGGCGGCGTCGGTAATTTTTTGATGATCAGGGGCTCCCCCCCCCTGTTCCATTTTCATTAAGAAAGCGAAGGCAGACCAGGTCTTACACAGCTCATGCCAGAATTCAACACGAAACACGCACTCATACTACTACATCAGACTCTTCAATATATCACAACACCCACCCTAACTTGGGCAAAACCAGGGAAAGAATGGACAGGGGGATACATCAGAACCAAGAGAAGACAACATGAATAGCATCAGCTTCCTCCAGATGCATCTTCTGGTATTCCATCGACGTCCTGCCACCATGCTCAGCTCCATTCATTGACGCCTTCCACGATCCACATCCAACGCCTTGCATCTCCCGGCTCAACCTGGTTCCAGCGCAAACGGGACCTTTAAGATCTCCCACAGTTCTTTCTGGAACTTGTCCAATAGACCTCCTTGCAGATCCTTGGATATCTTGGTCCAGGCTCTTAGGTACCCAAAGATTGGTCCCGGCGTCGGTAATCCCTGAGTCTATTGGGCCTTGCTTGTTCTTCTTTTTAAGATTTTTGTTAATTTAATCGGCCGGTAGTTCACTCGTATTAATTAGTCCTGCTGCTTACCTCACCTGCTACGCCGATGCCATGTGATGTGGTGAAGAGAAGACTGAGTGTACCAAGACTCCATTGATGATGGGCATCTCGTCTCGTCTCAAAAAAAGGAAGAAAAGGAGAGCAGGTAAATGCTGCCAATGATGGATCATTCATCTCGTCACTGGCGCCATTATATATTATGATTGTTAGAGCCTTTCTTTGTTGAAGCTGATAAGCTGCAGTTGGTAAATGAGCTCCATCATCATTTGTGTCTTCCATCACCACGACCTTGTCTACTCCTCAGCCGCAGCCGGCATCTTGGATGCTTCCTCCTCTCGCGTGTAATGTAATAAGTATATTCAAGAATGATAGTTTGCTTCGTCCTCCGCAGCCGGCTGGCCCCTTGGACGGCAGGCACTAACGTATTTGCTCTGTCGTCATCGATGTACTACTATCATAGTACATATCATCTGGTGTTTCTAAAACACACAGTCCTAGTTTTGTTCCTTACCTGCTACCAGCACCTTGGCACATGCATGGTGAGCTGATTCAAAAAGAAATACGTCCGTTTAGAATGGTTCAACACGCGAAAAAACCTGCATCTTTTATTTCAGCAGGGCACACCATCAGATAGAATCGGGCTCAGCTATAATTTTTGCAGCAGGACACACCATCAGATACAACCGGCTCAGCTATAAAAGGAGGCATAATGGCCTCTTCGAAAATGCAATCACATCTGTGCTGCCCTTCTGCAGTACACCACAACACTAACGCCACACACGCCAATTAGCCGGCTCTCAGTACCATCCAGCCCATCTGAGCAGATGGAGACGGCCATCGGTGCGGCCGGTTGGCTGCTGGGCAAGGTGCTTACGAAACTGTCCGAGGACCTTGTGGCCGCGTACGTGTCCAGCAACGAGCTGGGCCTCAACTTCCACGACATCAAACTGAAGCTCCTCTACACACAAGGGCTGCTGCATGCATCCGAGGGGAGGGACATGAGCAACAACCCTGGCCTCTATGGATTACTCGGGGAGCTGAGCAAGAAGGCGGATGAGGCCGAGGACATGCTCGATGAGATCCACTACTTCATGATCCAGGACCAGCTCGACGGCACCAAGGAGGCAGCCCCAGAACTGGGCGATGGCGTCCGGGGCTCTGCCCTTCATGTCCGTCATGCTGCTCGCCACACCATCGGTAACTGGATTCCTTGCTTTTCTTGCTCGCGTACTCAAGGTGGTGATTCTTCTGTTGATGTTGTCACTAGTGACAATGATGGTGGGCCTGTTCATAAGTTGTCTTTTGACAGAGTGGATATGTCCAACAAAATCAGGTCGGTAATAGAGGAATTGAACTCCATGTGTGGACCTGTCTCTGACTTGCTCAAAATTCCAAACCATAGTAACACTGCAACAAGCACACCTATCACTCTCAAAAAGCCACCCACGGGTTCAGTATCTGCACAAGATAAACTGTATGGGAGGGAAGTCATCTTTGAGCAAACTATAAATGAGCTCACTGGTACAAAATATCTTGGTGAAACCCTTTCTGTTATGTCTTTTGTTGGCCCTGGGGGTATGGGAAAGACAACCTTCACCCAACACTTGTATAATGAGAAAAGGGTTGAGGAGCACTTCATTGTTAGGGTCTGGGTATGTGTCTCAACTGGTTTTGATGTGACCAACCTCACCCGGCAGACCCTTAGGTGCATACCTGCAGTTGAAAAAGAAGAATACAAATGTACAGTTGAAACAGCCAGTTTAGACCAGCTTCAAAAATCCATTATAGAAAGATTGAAGTCCAAAAGGTTCTTAATTGTCTTGGATGACATTTGGACATGCAACAATGAAAGTGATTGGAACGACCTGTTAGTTCCATTCAAACAGGGGGAAATTAAGGGAAGCATGGTTCTTGTCACAACTCGGTTTCCATCAGTAGTACAAATGGTGAAAACAACTGAACCAGTAGAACTGCATGGTTTGAAAGATGATGATTTTTTAAAATTACTTGAAGCATGCATATTTCCGGAAAACAAACCTAGGCATTATGAAGATCAATTAATTGATGTTGCAAAGGATATTGCGAAGGAACTAAAGGGTTCACCCCTAGCCGCCAATACAGTTGGTCGTTTATTGAGGAAAAACATTTCCCTGGAATATTGGATTGAAGTTCTTGAAAATGATGAGTGGCAAAATGCAAAAAATACTGATGATATTTTACCATCCCTGAAAATTAGCTACGATTACCTTCCTTTCTTTCTAAAAAAATGTTTTTCATATTGTGCCCTTTTCCCAGAAGATTACAAGTTCTATAATTTACAAACTACTAGCTTTTGGACTGCGATAGGTATATTGGACTCTAGTTGCCAACACGATAAGAACTCTAGTTTCCAACATGATAAGAATTACTTAGAAGAACTAGTAGACAATGGTTTCCTCATGAAGAGAGTTGATATTTATAATGACCAATACTATGTGATGCATGATTTATTGCATGAACTATCCCGGAATGTTTCATCGCAAGAATGTGTGAATATAAGGTGTTCAAGTTTTAGTACAGATAACATCCCACAATCTGTTAGGCACTTATCAATCACTATAGAAGATATATGCGATGAAAGTTTTGAAGAAGAAATGGGTAAACTGAAGGGTAGAATAGACATTGGAAATTTGCGGACTTTGATGATTTTTGGGTCGCCTAATGCAAGAATAGCTAATATTTTTAAAGATGTTTTTGAAGAAATCAAAGGTCTTCGAATTCTTTTTATAGCAATTAACACTATAGAATCTTTGCCCAAGAGCTTTCCAAATCTTATCCACCTCCAATACCTTAAAATTAGTTCACCCGACCCCTTAGAAGAAATGACTTTACCTAGCACATTGTCTAGATTTAACCACTTGAAATTTCTGGACCTCAATCTTTGGCGTGGTAGTGAAAATTTGCCCAAAGACTTTAGTCGCCTTATAAATTTACGCCATTTTTTCTCTTCTAAAGAACTCCATTCCAATATTCCTGAGGTTGGAAAGATGAAGTGTTTACATGAGCTAAAAGAGTTCAATGTTAAGAAAGAGGGTGTTGGATTTGAACTGAAAGAGCTGGGGGATTTGCGAGAGCTGGGAGGAGAACTCTGCATATGTAATCTTGAAATTGTGGCGTCCAAAGGAGAAGCTAGTGCTGCCAAACTGAAAAATAAAAGAAATCTGAAAAAGCTAAGATTAGTTTGGGGTGCAGAGCACAAGACTGTAGATGATGATGTTCTTGAAGGTCTTGAACCACATCCTGATCTTAGGGTGCTTAGCATTACGAATGCTGGAGTTGCCACTTGTCCTAGATGGTTGTGTGATGACTTAAGCACAAAAAGGTTGGAGTCTCTTCATCTAGAAGGTATATCTTGGGTCACTCATCCAGCTTTTGAGCAGCTACCACACCTCACCAAGCTCACATTGAAGAGTATTTCTGGAATGCGTGTATTGAGGCTTGGCTTTAGTACTGTTACAGGAAGAAGCTTCACGCACCTGAAGACACTTGATTTGACGGACATGCCAGAACTTGTGGAGTGGGTTGGGGAGCCTAATAGCAATCTGTTTTCAAGGCTTGAAAGTATCTCGCTTGAAGATTGTCCCTCTCTCTGCTCGTTTCCCTTCTTGGAGTACTCTCACCTATTTACTAACTTGTTCAGTCTTGATATTAGATACTGCCCCAAGCTGTCTCAGTTTCCACCCATGCCTCGTACCTCCACACTATCAAATATGCAATTGTTCAATCGTAGCTCATCAGTAGTATTGCACGGAAAGAAGAAATTCAGAATTAAACAGTATAAAGGTGCTTTGGCCTTCCACAATTTGGATGAAGTAGAGGATATGCGAATTGTGGGTGGGCCACACATTTCGTGTTCAAGCCTCAAAAAACTAAACTCCCTGAGAAGTGTACATTTTGAAGAATGCGACGACATGTTTTTTGCAGAACAAGATGATGCTGTTGTTCTCCATTCTGTTCAGAATCTTGTAATAAGTGATTCACGTATTACTGGAGAATCATTTTCAAATGCTTTGAAACTTTTGCCAGCTCTTTCCCAGGTTATCTTAGACAAGTGTAAGAGGCTTGAATTTCTGCCTGTGGAGGATGGAGGACTCTCGGGCCTCAGGATGCTCCAATCATTTAGAGGATTGGGATGTGGGAATCTGTTCTCTCGGTGGCACAAGGGAGAAGTAGGTGGAGGTGGTCATGCCATCAAGCCTTTCCCTACTTCCCTCAGGGAACTTGACATTTCCTTCGAGTTAAGCATAGAGTCAATGGGTCTGCTCTCAAACCTCACGTCTCTCACCAGTCTAAGCTTGAAGGTTTGCAAAGAATTAACAATGGATGGCTTCAATCCTCAAATCACAGTCAACCTCAAGCAATTGGTTTTATATGCGAACAAGTTTATAGCTGGGGATCTGCTGTCAGAGATTGCAAGGAGCAAACTAATGCATGCAGGTTCATTCCAGTTGGAAGAATTAGAGGTGGATAGCATCTCGGCCGTGCTTACTGTTCCCATCTGCAGCCACCTTGCTGCTACCCTCCACACATTGCGGTTCACTATTGATAAGCTGGCAACAACCTTCACGGAAGAGCAAGAGCAAGCGCTCCTGCTCCTCACCTCCCTCAAAAATCTAGAATTTGAATGGTGCAAGAATCTAGAGTCCTTCCCTCGAGTGCTACGTGGCCTTTCTACCCTCAAGAGATTAAGGATCTATATGTGTGATAAAATCCTATGCTTGCCGTCAAAGGAGAGCCTCCCTGCTTCACTGGAAACGCTAGTGGTATGGTGTGATAGTCCTGAGCTAACTGAGCAAGCCAAAAAACTGAAAGGAAGTGAACCATGGTTTTCTGTGAAAGGATACGGTACGTAACCCACCCATGGTCTAAATTTGATGATTTGAGGTGATACCTGCCTTTGCTTCTAAGACTTGACGGGCTAACATGTTTAAATTGCAGGGCTATAGAAGTAAATGGTACGGTGCTGGTGGAGCGGAACAATGGCGCACAGTGGGGGATGGGCGCGGGTCGCACAATCGCAATGAGCTGGTCATGATCTACCCACCGCCCAGGTACACCTCCCTCTCTCT